GAAGGCAGAATCCTTGGCCTGCCAGGCAGCGCTCTCCATCTCTTTACCCTCCCCAGGTGGGCAGGGCGGAGGGAACCTCTACCACCTCCTTGGACTGACACCAAGACCTCCCACCAGGGCGTAGGCTGTGGAGCTGTAAATGACAGCAGTCAGAACTGTTTCCTGGCCCTTAGCCTGGGGAGGTGGAGGGAACCCCGGTTCGGGCCCCCTTGGACGGAAGGGCTGCCTCCCTCAGGTTTGGCCCCACACTGCCTGTCCCACCTTGCAGGACCGGTTCTCCTTCTTCCTCCCCCCTGCTGCCCTCCCCCTTTTGGTTCCTTTGCTTTTTGCCTGTTCCCTAAAACTTGCCTGTGGCACTCAGGGTCAAATACACTATTCATTCTCCAGCATGAATGTGCCTTTTAATTAGAAACATAGAAATTCAGCTGAACCCACTCACACTCCCCCAGGACCACTCTGGTGCCTAAAGCCTCCCTTTCCCCCTCGGGCCTTTAGCAGGTGCTCCCCCTCCTGGGAGGGTGATCCCCAGCCCTGTCTTCTCCAAACCTGCCTCTGCTGGGAGAGGCTTCCATGCCGGGGGTGAGATGCACGAGGCAGTTTCAACACTGGGCTAAGGGGCTGAGACTCGGCTGTTTAATCCCAGGCTTGACCTTTCCGCTGGTGGCCGCTCAGACCTCCTGGAACCAGCCCTCAGTGTGGATGGAGGCTGAGTCGGTGTCCAGTGCCAGTCTTACCTGTGCCTTGATTGCTTTGAGCATCTCGGATGCTAACTTGGTTCTTTTTCCAGAAGCCTTTGATTAAAATTTATTTCCTATTGCACAAGCTTTGGGGCTATGCAAAGAGTATTCCTTCTGTCAATCCCCTGCTCCTTAACAGAGATGTTAATAAAATTCAGAGCAACTGCACTGAGAAGGAGTTTTGGGAAATAAATGCAAAGAATGAAGGCCTCTCTTTGTGACCCCAGATCCCAACTTTTCCAAAGTGCCTTAAAAGAAGGAGACAAATATCTTGGGAAGTAACTTCTTTGTTACTTACTGTACTCTTTTAAAAAAAAAGACTTTCTTTCCTTCTTTTGTTTTTTTTAATATTTTGTTTCATGTTACATTGGAATATTAAAGTATGTGGTTCATTCTCAGAACCAAGGGAAATCCTGCATCATCTGTTCCTCCTTTGCTCACCTTCTGGTGCTCTCATGGGCGCCACCTGAGCCCAAGCTTAGGCCTGCAGGCCTGCCTGGTTCGTGAGATGCTGTAGGTCCTGTTTCCTCCCTGGGGAGTTCAGAGCAAGAGGGTTCAGGGGGCATTTCCTTACCTGGAAGTTGTTGCCATGAAGTTGTCACGTTCTGTGCCTTTGTTTCTGTCCTTCCCGTTGCTGGTGACCCTGTGAAGTGGCTTTTGGAGAAGATCAGAGGGCAGAGGTGGCCTGGGAGGGTAAAGGAGATGTGGTCTGGCTCTCAGCCTGGGCAAGGTCTCTGCTGACTCAGGGCTGGCCATGGGGGGTCCCACACAGCCGGGACAGCAGCAGTCCTGTCCTGGAGACCTGTTGGGCTGTGTGTTTCGATTTCCTATGTGTGCAAATGTTTGTATTGACTATTGTGAGTGGGAGGGGGGAATGTCTGACTTTGATGTTCAAAACAACTGTATTTTTGCCTTTAAAATCCAGTAATATAACACGAATAAAATGTCTTATCTTTGTAACTGCTGGTGGTTTCTCTTCTGATTTAAAGGTTTGGACGCTGCCAGAGCTGGTGGGCAGTGGTGGGGCTACCTTCTGGGAGGATTTGAGGTCTGCCTTTGTGCCTCCCTGGTTCAGGGTGTCATGGCTGGGGCCTTGGGTAGCAGAATCCCCACACACTGCCCAGGAAGCGCACAGCTGGGTTACACACACCTCCCTGGAATCAGCTGATAAGAAAAAAATTCCGAGATGTTCTAAATTAAGTTACAGTGGCCTGAGAGGGAGAAAAAGAGCTGGAACTGTTAGTCTGTTAATGGCTGCAGGCCAACTAATGAAACACATCTCAGTCCTAGCCGGTTTGGCTCAGTGGATAGAACGTCAGGCTGTGGACCAAAGGGTCCCGGTTCAATTGTAGTCAAGGGCACGTATCTTGGTTGCAGGCTCCTCCCCAGCCCTGGTCAGGGCTCTGGTCAGGGCTCATGCAGGAGGCAACCAATCGATGTATTTCTCTCACATCGATGTTTCTCTCTTTCTTTCCCTCCCTCTTCCACTCTCCCTAAAAATCAATGGGGGTGAGGATTAACAAAAATAAATAAACAAGCACAATCTTTAAAAAAAAATCTCATATAATAAAACCCTAATATGCAAATTGACCGAACAGCAGAACAACTGGTCACTATGACTTGCACTGACCACCAGGGGGCAGACACTCAATGCAGGAGCTGCCCCCTGGTGGTCCGTGTGCTCCCACAGGGGGAGCGCCACTCAACCAGAAGCCAGGCTCACAGCTGGCAAGTGCAGCAGTGCTAGAGGGAGCCTCTCCCGCCTCCATGGCAGCGCTAAGGACCCCTCTGAGGTCCTGGACTGCGAAAGAGCACAGGCCAGGCTGAGGGACCACCCCCTGCCCCCCAATGCATGAATGTCGTGCACCAGGCCTCTAGTAAATAAATAAAAGACATCCCACATTCCTGTTTTGCCTGTTGGGATTTTGGATTAATTTCCAGGTGGCTATATCCACAGATTATTTTAGCCAGACACCTTCTGACTCCAGGAGTTCCCATTTGTTTGCATGTGGACTTTCTGGACCGCTGCCCACAGCCACTCCACTGATGCGGGCACTTCTTTATTCAACTCTGCTGCCCAGAGCTGGCCCCGCTTCACCTTCTCCCACCCCCTTGCCTATAGCTCATGTAAATCCTTTCAGACTACTTATTTCTTCTTCTTCCCCTGACTCGATGTATTAAACCGGTTGCAGAACTCTGGGATGACGGACATACTACCTTTCCTGTCTGGCTATGCTGCTGGTGGTTTAGACTCTATGCCCCAAGACCAGTCGTTTGGTTAGCATTTTTGGCTCAATAAAACCTTATATTTTAAAAAAGACTTCAGTCATGGAAGTTAAATATAGCCATTTCCTCATCCGAACCTCATTTTCTTTGTATAATGGGAAAAATAACACATAGATACATTTTGAGGCTTAAAAGATAGGAAGTATCTACAACAATGATGGACACCTCCAAATTTTGTTGAACACATACTAGGATACAATGGCAGAGGAGGTTTGAGTTCAAAGTCTAATGGGAGGAAAGAGGCAGCACAGACGTTTTCAAAGAGTCAAGTAAGCGAATGGAGCCGGTCGGTGTGGCTCAGTGGTTGAGCATCCACCTATGAACCAGGACGTCACAGTTCGATTCCTGGTTGGCACATGCCCAGGTCCTGGCTCGATCCTAGTGTGGGGTGTGCAGGAGGCAGCCAATCAGTGATTCTCTGTCATCATTGATGTTTCTCTCTTCCTTTCTTAAATCCCTAAATACATATTTTTAAAAATTAAAAAAAAACACACAAAAAAACATGATGAACACCTTACAGGTACTCATTACGTAGTAGCTAGCCCCACCTCAAAGTAGAATTTTCCCTGGCACTTCTCTGGCCACATTCCTACTATTTTCAACAAATGCCAGAATAGTTCTGAGATAATTGTCAGAGCCACTTAGTACACAAGGTGTTCACAGTGTCACTTAATATGGCCCCAAATAAGGCTCTTGTCAGCACCAGGAAATTTTACTAAAAGGCCTTAGTTGTGACCTAAGCATGTGGGGCATTCAGTACCCAGCAGCATCCTCCTACTGCTGCTTGGATGGAATTGGCACCTGGAAGGAATGGGCCTGAGGGAAGCAGTGTGCAGGCGCCGTTGCCCCTGGTGTCCGAGCTGAGGTAGCTCCAGGCCCTGCTGGGATGGAGCTGAAAAGTGGCAGCCCCTTGTAGTTCCCTCTTGGACTTTCTGGCTGTCCCTACCCATCCCTGTGACTGCCAAAGGATCCCTTGTGGCCCCAGGCCTGAGCAGAGGTGGCCTGGGGCTCAGATCTGACCGAGCAGCAGACTCTGGTCCTCTGGACAAAGTGCTGCCTTACAGGGCTTTGCAAGGCCTGATGTGCCTATGAGGGGCAGGAGTGCCTCTTGCCAGTTCTGTGACCTTGAGCAGATGACTTCGACTCTCTGTGCCTCAGTTTGTTCATCTGTATAAAGGGGGTAGCAATACCTATTTTCCTAGAGTTGTTACAAAGAACCAGCCAGTTAATACTTATAAAGCACTAAGAACATGCCTGGCTCATACTAATCATTATGTGTTACAAATGTTTGTTACTTTTTTAAAATGCACGTGGACACACCTGCTGACGTACATACAGACTGCTGTACACACATTACCAACATACACACGTCAGATATAGTGGAGCTCTTTATTCTTTCTCCTCTAGGGCACATGTCTGGGGCTTACCTATGTGGTGGTTGGGTAAGTAACCATTCCTCTTCTGGAGACACCCAGGACCTTACCAGTGGTGTGTCCCCACCCCTTCCCCACCTCACCTAACCTAAGCAAAGGTGTTTGGAATGACTGCCTTGGGGAGGGAGGGGTCTTGCACCCCCACTCACCCCCTGGGCTCCAAGGGGACAGGAAAAGAAGAAGGTAGGAGGAAGAGGGTCAGGGACAGGTTCCTGGGGTTGGCCATTCCTTGGGAAGTGGTCTGTCTCTAGTCTCCCACTTTACTCGGGACCCAGACCAAGTAGGAGCCAGGCAGAGCCCAGTAGTTGTGAGTGTGGATTGGTGAGCATCAGGTCCTTCCCCCGCCCCTATATAGTAGCTCTTTTCCATGTGAGAATGTGACCTGGATGCCAAATCAGTGACCCACAGATGTCCTTTGGAGGCAGGGCTGTGTGCCCAGGTAGGTGGGTGCCTATGGAGGTATGTGAGTGA